GTCTCTAGGGCACACAGAAACAGAGACGACTCCTTCTGGAAGTCAACGCACAAAGTGTCTGCCACAAGCTATAAAGTATTTCGCATAAATAATTGATTAATGCCACAAGCCTGTTGATGGTTGACACAGTGTCAAGATATAGTTTATTTATAGGTAGCATAAAACCAAAGGGAAAACTAAGCCTTAAGGAAAAGGTGAGAGAGAAGTGGTTAAGAATTTTAAGGGCGAGGAGTAACTGAACGGATGCACATCACGGACACTTCTGTATCGACTCGTTTCTTGAAGCTGATTGAAAGCTTGCATATATGCATGTACAAGAGGCTTGAAACAAGTATTGCCCTCCATTTAAAACATCTGGATAAAATTTAAGTGCTTTTATTTTTCATCGGCTTCCTCTGAAAAAAGAACTAAATTTCAACAAAATTGAAGGACATGAAATAAAATTTCCAGTCTTTTAATCTTTTAATCATAATCATTTAAGAATAACAAAAACAAAAAAGAATAACTGGAAATACTATAAGCTTCGAGGGCATTAAAATTGCATTTAATTTGATACTAATTCAATGCGATATGCAGTATATGGTGTCAGAATGCACATATCATGCTTCATTTATCATTCACTTATCACGTGGCAGTTCCACATCCACCTAACACCATCACATACACATGCACATCCACCTAGCCATAACTAGCTAGCGAGTCGGAACGTACGATATTACGGTCGTCGACGCCATTGTGTGTTCATGTTCAGACACGTCATCGATACTAATTCAATAAACAATGCAAAATGTCTGGCATTGTTGGGGCTGGCTGGCATCCACCAGTTTCGCAACTTTGCACACTTTCCCAAACTGTTTGTGTGTCTGTTTTCTTGGCAAACAAACCAGAAAAAAGATTGGAAATTACGTGAAAATGCAAACATCACAACAAATCAGCATATTCGATGAGCAGCCACAGACTCCCTCTGCAGCAGGGTAAGGCGTGGGCGGACGTAAACAACTTGAAGCTTGGATAGGATAACATTCGATTTTCGATTTGAATTTATCATTTTTGTGCTGTGTCGCTGCCATGTATTCGTTTGTATTCATTCATTCGTTTGCATAAAGCGCGTCGAGTCCCTGTTTTGCATGTGACAAATGCAAATCCCGAAAAAGTATGCTACAGTTTATGTCAAAGCTTATTATGCCGCTCACCGACTCGAAAGAAGAGTCATCTTCACACAAACACTGATTCGTAACCGTACACTAAGAAACACATACATACATCTGCTGTGTTCTGTTTTTTGCCTACACTTGAAGTGGGTATTAGGGTATGGACTAGATGTTTTGAATGCAGGAAAGGGTGGTTCTTGATCAGGAGCAGTATTGAAGTTTTTAAGCTAGATCAACTGTGTAAATACCCCGCTTTTGGCTGCCAGCATAAGTCTTAACCGGCTGAATCAACATAGACTTTAGTCTTGGTGAGAGCCTCTCTTACACTTCTGAACAGTGTCCATTACAACTCCATAATTTTCCATTAGATATAAATTTACACTGCCAAGCCGAATCTCTGGAAGTTGGGCTACTATAACGAATACCTGCCATGGAATCTATCGGCTAAGAAACTGATAAGTCACAGAAGATTAGAAGGATCTAGGGTATCCAAAACTTCGAGCCACTTAGCTATCCGTTCCCTCTCGTTATTGCTTTGGTGTTTGGATTGTTAATGGAAGACAAACGTTATCGGTTTCAGGCACATACAGCAACAGCCGGAAGGCAGAAGGGGGAGAGCAACAAACTAAATACAAATAAATGTATTTGCCCAAACGTTTTGTTATCCACAAATTCAATTTGCATATTATGTATCATTTAGAATTCAATTTTTGCTGCCCCCCTTCTGTCGCCTTTTAAAAAATGAATTGAATTTTCCTTCTGTCATACGAGGAGCACGAGTAGCAGTAGCAGTTGCCTGGAGCCATATGCAAACTATGGAAAACTCCTCCTAGCTGGCATAGTTAATTTTCCCCCATTAGTCGAGCAAAATAGCCAAAAAATGTTAGCCAAATATTTGCATCGGGCACTGACATTGTTGGCTCACCCAGAGTCAACAGCAAAATGCCGGAGCTTGAAGGAGCTTCAAGAATTTCCTTGAGACAAATTGCTCAAAATTTGATGCAAAGCCAAACAGCGTGAGGCAATGGAGGAGGACTGTCAGCAGTCCGTGACCGTTCGTTGGTTCTCCCTTCAGCCCGGGACATGCCTCATCCCAGGACAAAGAGAAATATGATGCATTGCTGGTCAGTCTTTCAGCTGGGGATTTCGTTCTCATGCTTCCATTTGGACAACTCCGCAATGATTTGTAGCCGTAACTGCAGCAACTCTTTGCGCAATGCTAGCTCTAATTTCACCAGTTTATTTGCTGTAATTATTGCTCTAGGCTTTCATTCGACAGAACGTACAGTGTCTAAGGCTATTTCAGTAATTAGCACTACACCCGCAGCCCACACAAAAAGGAACTCGTACCTTACCTGCATGGCTGACAGGAGATAACTGCTGATCAGGCATTGTTGCTAATTTCGACACGTGATTAGAGCATTTTCCGTTGCTCAATTAAATTAACCTGATATGTGGTTACATAGCCATTGTTTCGGCCTAATTAATGAGGATAATTCTCAAACGAATTGAGAATGAAGCTGAACAGGATTTGGTGTTGTTGTACAGCGTTCTAAATCAATGAATTTCGCTTCTCTGTTAGATATTTTCGCTTTAATTGCACCTATAAGCGTTTTCCAAACATAATCAACCATTATCGGGAAATCGCCAACAGATTTCTGTACCATTTTCATGCCCCTTTAAAAACTTAAATGCTGGGCGAAATCTGTTTTCCTTTCGGGCGCTATCCGTTTGTATACTCCTGGTGGCACAGACTGCCTCGACATCAAAGCCATGGCGGCTTATTCTTCATTCCCATTTTTTTTTTTTTTTGGCGTGCGTGAAGAACGGCAAACACACGTGTTGGCATAGAGAGGGAGTGGAATGGACAGATGGGCCTAGGGCTAAGTCTCCGGTTTGTTTGTTCACGGTGCACGCAAATATTTTCTTGATTTTTCGCTTGGGCTTCCGTCGGTTTTTTTTTCTACTTGGCAGGCCTGGTTCCCGTCTATTTTCCAACTCGTTGAGGTCGAAAGTCATCATCATTAGCCTTTTGCCTTCTACGCATATACATATATGCTTCTTATGCCTGCAATTAGCCAGCCTGCTTAACCAACTTTCTTGGCCCATAAGAACTCCTCAGAAAAAAATGTTTTCTCAACTACAGAAACACGGACCACAAACACTTAAATTTGTACTGCAAGCGACGTCGCACATTTCCGTACTTTTTTAATTAAAACATAATCTATTTATTGGGCGCCTTGAAGACAAGTTGTAGGAACAATTTAATTTAATTAAGCGCATCTGAGAGTACGAGTTCTTGGCACGGTCGCGACCGGTCGTATGCGGGTTCGGCCAACCTTGAAATGGCTTTGTGTTCCCGGTTTTTGGCCAAGTTTAATTGCAAAATGCAATCAAATTAGCCGGCTACCGTGTTTTATGGTGTTATTACAAATGTTTTCGCCCATTTTCACTAAACCAGATGAAAGAGCACTAACATCATTCACCCTTAATGTTGCCGCGGATTAAGAGGTCTGGGAGGATACCCAGTCTCACCTTATTTTATAAACTTTTACAATTTGCATTTGCCAAAACGTTTCAAGCTCGTTTTAAGCTGCCAACACTATTCCGCACGCTAGGCTTATGTGTATTATCCACCCTCCAGCGACAGTGCAGATATCATGTGTTCTGTGTTAGCCCATATCCTCTGGGCTAATATAAAACTAAAATAATAAATGACAAGAACGTGACTCGACATTTTCGGTGTCTGTCAGATTTTTTTTGCGGTTTGAGTAAAAAATCTTTTCTTTGATAGCTAAGTGGTGGCTGAGTTTTAAAGTTGGGGATTTGTTGACTGAGTGACTGTTCCTCGCAGTACAGTTGTAGAGGTATTGTGCAATGCAAAGCTAGTTTTAAGGGCACTGTTATGTTTAGTGGAGACACAGACACTTTTGAGGCGTTTTAGATGCCCTGCTTCATGATGTAGGTAAAAGACGTGTAAAATTACGTTGTTACACGCAAGAAATGTAGATACATATATGAAGAGCATATGTATATTTTTTTAGTTATTTCAATATTTTATCATAAAGGACTGTCCGTTATGGGGAATATCACTATATATATAGTAGGAAGTGGTATAGATATAACTTTTTATCAGTAATGAAGTATAAAGATTACATTTTTTTAATGCACATTTATTTATTTTATTTACATTGTATTCATATTTCACATATCTATTTATAATTATAATTAGTAAACTTATCGCAAAGTCTTTTGAAAGATTAATTCAATTGTAAGTTCTTTAAAAAGAATAAAACAATGTTTGATAGATCTAAAGGTTCTCGAAATAAAATAAATGCATAATCACACGAACGATTAATTCATTGATATTAAAAAAAAATAAATAAAATTAAAAGCTTTTCCATAAATTTATCTAATTATGTGATAAATTTTAAGGGGCTTGAATGATCGACAGAGCCGAACCAAGGCTTGACTTTGCTTAAATGTTATTTGGTATTTATAAAACTAACTAAATGGACGACAATTGCTAACAATGAAATGTGATTTTCTATATCGCTCCTTACCTTCAACCGTTTTAGTTTTCCCCCCTCATACTGCGAGTCCCAGCTGACATTTTCAAAACTTTGGTCAACTTACAATTTGCTGCAAGTTGGCAAAATTTCACGAAAAAAAACCCTAAAGTTTTTCTATTTTGCTTTCTCTATCGGCTATACGGAAATAGTTTTTTCCTGTTCCTCTGGACCTTGGCATCGATTGATTTCTGGGCAAATGATTTGCAGCACAAAAACTACGAGCCGTACGCTGTACGAATGCCCCAACGCAGCGGACTGAATGGACATGAGTGTTTGTTGGGTGGGGGAGGCAGTGTGTCCATAGTCGTGTCTGTAACCTTATCCATGTCTCTAAGCACCCATCATCCGGACCAAGAGCTTCAGGAGGTTTCGCTGGCGCCGTACAGCAGATTGTCCAGTTTTAATTTGTTGATGTGGTCGCCGCGGGCCCCATGTCCTGGCCGTCCCCAAAACGTTTCGAAGGTGTCGAAATGCTGATTGCACAGGTCCCGGTCCAGTTGCTTCGAGACGGAAACGGAGCGGCGGTTCTGCGATATTTGGACATTCAAGTCGTGGAGATAGCGCATATCGGCGGCCGTTTGAATCCTGCATCGAATCGCATGTGGAAGATGATGTTCATGGGTTGGTGGGCAGCAATTTTGGTTGGTTGGTTGTTTGGTGTTGGTTATTAAGTGATTTCATTTCGTTTTTAACGTTTGGTTTGGTTTGGTTTTCAGGGTTTTTTGGAATTGTAAACGATTTTCGGTTTGGTTCGGTTCGTTTCGTTTCGTTTCGTTTTGCACGGGGATACATAGAAGATTGGTATTATGATTTGGTTTTTGTTGGTTTAGTTTTGTTTTTGGTATTTGGTTTTTGGTGAGATTGGGTTTGCTCTTTTGGTTGCTATACTTTCACTTGGATTACAATGGATATTTTCTTTTTGCTGAATAAGCCGAGAAGAAGTGGGGGTAGAGAAACCATTAACAATGCAAAATGATAGACTCAAAAGACGGGGGGTCGGGTAAGTGGCAAGCGGATTGTTTTGCTATCTTTTCAATATGGCGCAGAGCAAGCAAATGAGAAACGGAAATGGAAGTGTGTGGGGTATGCTAGGGGGAAATGGGGGCTGGACGAATGCCTAACGAATGTGCAATGTGAGCCGCTTGAGGCAGCAGCCCGTGGCCGTGGCTGTGGGGCAATCGCAGCTGCAACATTGCAGCTTGCAGCTCAGATTCTTGGGCAGCCGCTTCATGTGGCCGATGTTCTTGATGATGCTGTTGATGCACTTGATCTGGGTCGGTTGACTGTTCTTGGGCTTGTGCTTGGATGCGTACCTATCATGCGAGGGCGTCCTCTTGGTCACATCCGTGCTGGACAGGCTTATCGGCCGGTGCATGCCCCGTCTGCGCGCCAGAAGCGGCACCAGCTCCACGCCCCCGCCCTCGCCGTTGCAATCGTTGCCCCCATTGGTGGCGCTGACATTGGGCGTGGCTGTGCTGGTGTCACCGCGGGCCATGCGTGGACACAGCCTGATGGGTTTGCAGTCCTCCGGCTTCAGGTGGTGCACCATCTTTGGTGGGGCAGGCGGTAGCGCCCTCTTACACGGCGGCGGCGGCGGCTTCAGCGGGCTGTTCATGGCGGGGCAGGTGCAGGTGCAGTGCTCGCAGCACCGCTGCGGCTTCGGCGGTTTGTTGGGTCTCGATTTGCGGAATGTGTTTTTCTCCGCCGGAGTCACAGGATTGTCCTGATCAAGTTCCTTGAGCATTTCCTTGTTTGTCCAGCCCTGTAAGAAAGAGGCTTATTACCCAAAAGGTAAGTTTTGGATGGTGGATTCCTTACCAACGATTTCATGAATGTATTTCCCACTTCCTTGGGACTGCGCCAGGGCTTGCCCCCAGGCCCTGGCTTGCCCCACGGATCCTTGCAGGGCTAAAACAAGAGGAAAGAATATGGAATTAGTAAGGCCACGCCCCTGGATGCGTAATAAATGCCGCTCACCGGCTTTTCCAGCTTCGCCTGCAGGCGCTTCTTCTGCGAGGCAAGCTTCTCCTGGAGCGGACACCGCTGGTCGCTCTCGCTGACGACGATCTTCTCGAGCAGCGGCTTACCCTTGCAGGGCGGCGAGGGCTTGTACCGCAGCTCGATATCCACGTGTCCTTTATTGCGAAACGACATTGAAGGATGCTCTTTCAGCTGGATGTGCAGACTCTCACCATTGGCATTCTTGGCCAGGCCAACGCCCACTCCTGCGCCGTGCTTGTGGGGGATTTCCCTCTCACAGATTGTCACGGTGCTGCTCCGGGGTCCGCTCTCCTGTAGATGGTGTACGGAATGGGCATGGCCCAAACGACCCCCTGGCGGAGGCGGCGGCGGATGGTGATGATGATGATGGTGATAGGCAGCCAGCGGATTGTTCTGGCACTTTTTCTGCACGGAAAAGTAGTCGTTGTAGCGACACGGCTGCAGGGAGTTCATCCGGTGGGCAGTGGCCTGGGGGATGCACCTTTCGATTAGCGTAGTGCTTTGGGAATCAGCTGAAGAGGGACTACTTGCCACGGTTGGTGTGGAATGAAGACCAACGGCTGTGATATCCTTGCGGCGTACTTCTATATTAGGAGCTCCCCCTCCCGGTCGACCCCAAGGGCAATGCTGTAGGAAGAGGTCGTAGTACTGGAAGGAGGCAGGTGGGGATCAGATATATTAATTGCAGTCTGGAATTTCCCCTTAATCCACATTAAATATTACTAATGAAGCCAATTCCCTGGTATATGCTAATGTATTCCAGCCTGCATTTGCACCGTAAATCAGTACTTAATGTGCTACCAATTAAATGAATTCCCTAGTACGTAATGTATTCCAGTGTTCAGTCAGTCAGACACTGATTACAAAACCGAGTTATGCTCTATCGATTTGTTGGCAGCCTATTTACGGGCTCCAGACTCGACGCGACGTGACCTGCCTCCTCGCCCATCTCAGTGTGTCACTCTTCCCCGAGTGTTCCGCTGTTTGTTTACGGAAATTGGCCACCATTTCCCCGTGCCCTGGCGCCAGGCCAGGCCCGACAACTACTTTGTTTGTAGGTTGTTGTTATAGTTGCAACGCCTCGCGATTTGCATTTTCACTGATTTTTTTCACCCACATTTCGGTTTGGGGGCTTGCACAGCTGCACACTCTGAAAATGCTGAAGAATCAGACAGGAATTCAGTCACGCAAGGCAAGGTACGAGTACGAAGCCAAGCTGCTTCTGGTTAGGCATTCGTCTGGCGAAATGATTTGATTACTAAAGTCAAAATTGTCAAAGGGTTTGTTGAACCAAATCCACGAAAAACTGATGTATTACATGTTGCTTGGGGCAGGTCTTTGAACTCCGTTCAAGTCGCTGGAATCGCGTGGGTGTAAGCTCGAGAAGTTTTGTGTGGTTGTCGTAGGTTCTTTCTGGAAGTTCTTGGGCAAACTTGTATTCAAGTTTTCTTGCATTCCTGCATTTTCTGGAAAAACCTTAGCGTCCTCTTTCTTTGAGTTCTTAGCTTTGGAACACCATCCACTAAAGACCACAAAGTAATATGTTTGTAGTTCTTAGGATGTCAGCATATAAAGCATTCCGAACTCGAACTAAAGATAAACTCAAAACTTTGATCAACTTACTATATTCCCTGAAATCTCTAACATCTTTCAACCGACTGAACATTACACATACGCACTGTGTGACACCGTTTTCTGTTTTTTTACTGTTACCCACCTCCTGTTTGTCCTTTTCCTTGCGGGCACACTCCTCCGCCTTTCTCCGCCGCCACATGCGTAGACTCTCCTCCGCATTTTTGCGCTCCACGAGACGCTTCTTCTCGTCACACCACATCAGGGGATGTTGGATGTGGTCGTGGCAGAAGTTGCCCCCCATGCCCATCTCATCGCTGGTCGTCATTGTGTCTGTGATGCCTCCAGTCCTTGGTTTCCTTTGAGATCGTTCCACAGGGAGCTGGAAGAACGGAAGTAGCGCTGCGTTCAGCAAATGCCGCGTTACTGAAACAGTCTCGTGCTCGACTCAAACCGTTTAACCGCCGAATTGGCTGCACTGATCCGTGCCAGGCACTGCTGGGACACGGCGGAGTACGGCTGGGCCTCCAATCCGGTTGTCTAGGCAGCGTGCCTGACTATTTATAGCCTAGGTTAAGGCGTACTTGGGCCGCACGTGAGCGTCGGGCAACTGTCCTTGAAGTTGTTCTTGTTCTTGCTGTTTGTCAAGTCGTCTAAGGGTGGGACAGGGCAGGGTCGGGATTGCCATCCGCTTTTTGCGTAACCACTGCTAATTTCGTTGGCCATTTAAATATTTTGCCTGTTAGGCACGCTTCAACCTGGCTTTCTGTTTGCTTGCTCTGGTTACTTGGGCCTGTTTGCCTGTCTGGTAGAGTAACGAGACTTGGACGTAAAATATATTTACTTTATATTGCGGAAAAATTGTGCCACGGCTGCCTTAGCTTAACCCAATTCCCTTATGCTTTGTTCTATAAAAGCCAAAAGTTTGTAGAGTCATCAATACTAGAAGGGGTCTACTTATCCAGGTTAAAGCCGCTGCAGCATTGCGTGCAATTTAATCCGAAACTTGTTGATACTTTAAACTGAAATGCAACTCCATATCGCATTGCTCATCCGCCCCAATGTGTCGGCTACAATTTCCCTCTTGTGGCAGCACAAACACATTTATTTGTTTGACCCAATTCCGATATCAGGCAGCACTCGTAGTCCCTGCCCGTCGCAACATAAAGCACTTTGGGTCATGTCCAAAACTATTCCACTAGGTCGCCATGGCTGTTGTTTTTGTTGGCCCAGTCGGCTCTTGGGCCAATATGTTGAATAGTTACAGTGTGGCAGGCTGCCTTTGGGGCATGTGTGCTTAATGATTCTTTGATAGCATAGTATCTTTGTGTGAGAAACAATCAGGAATTTAAGCTTTAATCCAAAATGAACCAATTTAAAGAAGTTTGTACCCTTATAAATTTGTTTCCCACAAATATTTTACAAAATCGAATTTTTATTCATCTCATTAGGTATACAAATATCGTAGTTAAAGTTATCAATATCAACAACATTTCCACCGTTTCAGCATTCGCACTCTATAACCTGTGGGGGGCCAAATCGTGTCCTCAGCACCCATTTTAAATTGATTTCTACCCAAGATTTGGTTTTAGTTTGTTCTCTCTTTTGACCTCAGTATTGCAGGCTGTAAAGGAGCCCTAAACCATTTAATGATTTCTATCGAAACAAAAAAACAAAAGTTGCTGACTGACTTAATTGAGGTTTTGCTGCATAAATTAAAATAAAAACTTAAATTATATTATATAGAAGTGTTTTTTTCCTTTTTTCATGCGATTCTGTAGATATTTCTTGTCGTCCGATTTTGTTTGAATTTCTTATTAATTATTATTGCAGAAAATAAGATTTTATTAAAATTAAGACTGGGCAGCGTTGTTTTGTCATATAATCCTCTTAGGGGAGGGGAAGGGCTTTTCTTTACATGTACAACAAATTGTATATGTGCATTTCATGCGCGAATGGTTCAAAAATTCAACTTAATTCCGTTAAATTAAATAAAGACTTTAAATAAGATATTTTTGTGCTGTCCGAAGGGGGGATCTGAAGAGTGCAGGCAATGACCATTGAACCATTTAGGCACGAAATGCCTTAAACAAATATTAAGCATAAATAGAACTTTAGTTGTTTGCGTATTATTTAGGGCTGTCTTTCTTTTATAAATATCCTTCTGCACTCTGTCTTCTTTGTTGCATTGACTATATATGATTTTTTTTCTCCCTTAGAAATAGCGTAGCCGGAAGGAAAGTTCCCTCAAAAGTTGTAGCTAAATCATATTCGCGATTCCATTTGGGTTTGATTCATTTCCATTTTAGAAGAAAGATTTGTACAATTTGCTTGTTGGCTTTACACACACATAGTATTTCGTATAAATATATTCTCTCAAAAACATTGCATATAAAATTTCTTTAAAAATTCCATGAACATCTCGTTTTTATGTACAGCAAACGTTGCCGTTTATTTTGTTTTTGTTTTGTTTGTTTTTATGCAATTATTTACAGTGTCAACAACAGATGCCTAAAAACTAAATAATAAATCTTCTTTACAATTTGACGTTATTCGTTTATGTGCCGGCAAAAACCTAATCCGAACACCGAGTGTGGCCCGCTCTTAGCCTACATATTGTAATTCCATTATAGTATATTTAAATTGTAGTTCTGATTCATTACGCTCTACTTCAAGCGGTTGATGACTAGGTCGGCCACGACCTGTAGGCCCTTCTGGTAGGGCGACTCCGTCAGCTCCTGGGCCAGCCGTATCGCCTCGTTGCAGTGCTTCTTGGCCAGGAAGCGGGTCTGCTCCAGTCCGTGCGACTTGTGCACCAGCTCAAAGGCCCGCTCCACATCTCCGGGCTCGCTGAAGCGTCGCATCACCATGGGATTCAGCTCGGGGTACTGCAAGAGGCGAGAAATGCCAAATATTTCAATTATGCAAGGTCTCAGCGTGGGTTGGGCGGGTGGTTTTTTGCTGTCTGGCTTTTACTATTTGCCAACGCACATGCATCCGCGGGCCACTGGCATTCAAAAGCGCGCTGTTTGAAACGCATCGCACGCGTCCGCTAATCGCGGGCTGCATAGCAAATGGGTATGGCCGCAGGCGCTAATCGGTCCCATATGCAATCGACTTACAGACGCATCTCCAGCCGGCCACCACCCACCCACCACACATGATATCATCGCTGCGCTGGCATCACCCGGTCATGCCCGGGCAGGCACTTTAGATGCATGCGCACACAGAGAGACCTGCTCTGGTGTTTGCATTATTCCACACTGGATCGATCAACTGTTGTCACAGCAATAAGGAAATATCTTCAAGCATTTTGTATCTATAAGCTATCTAGGGGCAATTACCGCTGGCCCGTGTACTCACCTTTTCGCATGCAAAGAGAACTGGAGCCGTGGCCAGGCCCAGTTTGAGGTCTGCCGCCGTTGGCTTTCCCATCTGTTCGGTGGATGAGACAAAGTCCAGCATGTCGTCGACCAGTTGAAAGGCCAGGCCTATGTTTCGTCCGTACTGGAAGGCCACTTCAGCAACATTATCATCGGCCTGGGCAATGACGGCGGTCTGCAAGAGAGCGCGGGGTTGGGTTAGGTTCAAAGTCAATTGCAATCGGCGGTGCTGTGCGGTGCAAATGGGAACAATGACAACGGCCTGCGTGCACACTAATCGCTGAATTATCCGCAGAGACAGAGACAGAGACAAACACAGAGGCTGCACTGCATGCCGCTGCTGCACGGTTGCATGCCGATAACGATTACTCACCGCCTTCAGTGCGTTGGCAATCAGCGATGCGGTCTTCCTGTATGTCTTGGTCAGATAGTGGGCGAAACGCTCGTTCTCCGTTTCCCTTGAGCCCAGCTGCATGAACTCGCCTTGAACCAAATCGGTTAATATCTGCAAATAAATGGTGTTTTAAGTATTCCGCACAATGGCTCGTAAATATGTCACAAAAGATATGGTTATCGCTTCACGTTCGATTGTTCTGTAATCCCCGTGAAGATTCCCACAATAAAATGCAAAATTTGTGGCTATTTTCGGTGTTCCGTCAGGCATGCTGTAGGGGCGCAGCCATTTTGTATGGTACGTAACTTCCGCTTGAACGGAGCCTCAAATGCAAAGAGCAAATACTATTGTGCCAAATATTTCTGGCAAACACAGTTTCATTCAGCTCTCAGATACTACCTACCTGTCCACTATTTCTATGCCCAATTTTGTTTGCACACAAATCGATGGCTGGTTGGCACGCCCTTCCATTTCGCTTTCGATAGGCAATTTCATTCATTCGGACCCCAAAAACTAGCAGACACTTGTCAAAATCTTTGGCAAACACTCGGCCTACAGTGCGTGTGCGTGTGTTCGTGCGTGTGCGTATGCGTCTGTGTGGGCGCTTCTGATCTGTGGCTGTGTGTTTCCAAGGAGCTCAAGGCGAGGCAGCCATAGCTGGCCAATAGTTTCTGGCCAAAATCTGCCTGCTACCTGACTTTCAATGTTAATTGACACAAACAGCGCACAAGCTAGAGCGACAAGTGCGTGAGCTTCAACAATGCGGCCAACAAAATGCATTTCGAGCCATATACGCGTCAAATTAACACAAAGCCGCCTTCTTAGCCACCAAATAAAGTCAAAATGCTGCCAAAACCCGGCCAATGCCTTGGGTTTGCCACATTTTTTCACTCAACCGCAAAACGCGAGCGCAGTTTACGGAGTCTTTCGCCTCAAGGCAGCCGTAAAGAAAAGCTGTTTGCCCCGAAGCAACTCTTCGTGTGGCACGTACTTGGGAATTTTCTTTTTCGACAAAGGAAATATTGGCTAAAAGAAAATTCACTTAAAATAAGAAACGAATGGTCCGCTAGATTGGGGGCTTATATTAAACTATTATCCACAGAAACGTTTAAAATGTAACATACATATGTATGTGGCCAGATTTCTATGCGAATTGGTCATGAAATTAGCAAAGTAGATACGAATCATTATGCGTGACTTTAAATGGTCGCATTTTCTTTGAAGTACATTTATATCTGACATTGTCTGGGCATTCCGAGGGCGTAACAATCAAACTTAACGGACTGGTTTAACCCAATACCCAGTAAAAGTCATAAATCCACTCGATTAAGAGTCACTGAAATTCTAATCATTATTCTTCTTTTTTTTTAATGCAATCAACGTCTTAGAAGCCGTTGAAATTATTCAGACACGCGCACGGAATGTTTAATAAGAAAATCTGACAAAAATACATGGGTTTATGCCGTCGATTGTCGTAGCAGATGAAAGAAGAACCTGCCAAAAGTCGTTTGTCAATAGAAAGAAATATAGCAAAAGGTGGAAGAATATCAA